ACTGAAGTGATGAATACATCGAAGGCCTGTACACTTTGGTCTTTCCTCCTTCATCAAGGGTAGATAATTAAGCAGTATTAAATGCATTAACTCTTAGAAGTATCTCCTCTACTGTTTGCCAGACGTACCTACCCCATGTGAGTACCGATGGTTGTTAAGGGTGACAAAGTTGGAGAGGCAACGATCCTTGATATCAGCGATGCAGACAACGTTTCATACAAATCCTGGTCACATTTCAATAGGATGCAAAACAGTCCCTTTTACACTGCTGCAGATCATTGTAGATGGTCGGAGGTGTTCGTGTGGGCCTATTTACTTACTCTTGTTTGATCTACTTGGAGTGGTTTTTGAATGTGTCATGGATGTGCCTTGTGGATCTGTCCTTTTCAGACAGCTAGAGTTACATAGATATTTTAATGAACTTATATGAGTGATTTGGGAAATGTTTTTATCACATCATTATCTTAATATTTTATTGAAAATGTTTGAGTTAAAAAAATGTTTTGACAAGTTATATGTCATATGTAATGGTAGACATGTTGTCATGGGATGTCTGCTGTGATAGTAAGGTATGACTCACTGTGCAAAGCTGCTTCCCCTTACAGTATCAGGATGTGCTGGGATCAGATTCTATATTCCCCTTGGCTATGGACCGCCTCCGTGGTGTAGTGGTTAGAGCGTCTGCCTGGAGAGCGGAAGGTCGCAGGTTCGATCCCCGACCGCGTCATACCAAAAGACGTTAAAATATGGTACCTGTTGGTCCCTGCCTGGCGTTCGGCATTAATGGGTACAACAAGGACTGGTCGGCTCGGAGTCAGTATAATGTGTCTGAGTGGGGTATTCATGCTTCACTGCGGCACTGTATCTCAGTGAGCTAGCACTATAAAACCAGCTTAAGTCTGGGCTAGTACAAGCAGCCGCACATACACATGCATGCACGCCGTCATATGAGCGAAATATTCTCAAGCACGATGTTAAACCCAATTTCACCTCACCTCACCTCACCCCTTGGCTATGGTCTTGGGTTTGTCAGCACCATGCCTTGGCCCACATCAACTGTTAAGGGGTGCTGAGGTAGCCTAGCGGTTAAAGCATTCACTCATCATGCCGAAGACCTGGGTTCATTTCCCCACATGGGTACAATGTGTGAAGCCCATTTTTGGTGTCCCCTGTCGTGATATTGCTGGAATATTGCTGAAAGCATATAAACCTTCACTCACTCACCCACCTCAACAAAGCATTCTGGGTGCTAAGATCATTGTTCCTTCTATACATTAACACAAGCTTTCAGCTCTGATCACTTAGTGCAAGTAGGCCATGTTTTATTGGATTTCATCCAGTTGGTACACATCTATGACCTGTGCCTCTTTGGTCTTTTCCCCAACAATAAGCTGACATAACATCATGTAACTAAAACACCCTTCAAAGTGGCTTAGGAATGATTGGGTCACTACGCTTGTTGGTAAAACGCGTTTCTTCTTCACAATGGAGGTTCAGGTTAGCCCATGTCGGGTGTGCTGTAGCTCAGACATGATATTGTCAAAAGCCACATACAGCATGGTTTTGCCTCATATTCAGTGACCGGCAGGCTAGAACAGTGCTCGCACCACTCAAATGCCGCATACACTGAAGCAGCCAGCTCCAGATCTAGTCTTCCTCAGCAACAAATGTCCCAAATTATCCATACCTGTTAGTGCTGACTTACTTTTCACCATACAGATCCGGGTTCGATTCCCACATGGGTACAAGGTGTGAAGCCCATTTCTGGTGTCCCTGCCATGATATTGCTGGAATATTGCTGAAAGCAGCATAAAACTAAACTCACTCACTCACTCAAACAGGTCAAATATCCTTTTTGTGATTAGAGATCATATACAATCCGAGGTACATGTATATGTTAATTATGTTGGAAGTTACTAAAGTAACGAGCATAAGATATGTTTGAGGATTGAATTGATGAATGCAAAATGAAATTTACCAAAATATATTGTACATTTTACCTCCAAACAACTATAACTACAAAGAAATACAGTTTAAACACAATAAAAACATTGCTGTTATCTAATTTGGTCAACATATTTACACTTTTACTCCCAAAGCAGTTGAACAACAATCTCACCCATTTCTCCTGCTGAACACTTTGCAAGCACCTGTTGTGGTACATTCCAGGTTTTGTCTTGTACAAACATTTACATATTTATCCAATCATTGAGCCTGATTCAGTGCTTGGGGGTGGTGTATTTATCCAATCAGGTAGCAGCTGACTGAAGCAGATGGAACCATTTGTTTGTTATTGTCCCAAATCTGTGTTTTATTAACTGAGTTAAGAATGATTCCATGAATCATATGTCAACCACAGTTGGGATATTTGAATTTAAATTGGCTGTTTGTTTTCTCTAATGTGGTCGTGTCATCAGACAGAATACAAAGGGAACATGTTATTTGTTTGTAAAAGTAATCAATATACTGATATGCTAAACAAGAAAATGTATATTTTATTCATATGTATGTTATTTATTTCACAGTGTACACAAAAAATGAAATTATTTCCTCCAGTTTCATGGAATGTGTTTACAAGTTGTGTTCTGTGTTCATGTAGCCATATGAGGCATAGGAATCATTAACCTTTTTTTCTCATAGGCACAAAAGATTCCTTACAGTTTTGAGGAAACAATGCGTATCCATTTTCAATTTTTTATCCTAAATATTGTCAGCTGTCACTTGCTGTAGGTAGCAGCAAGATTCTGAATGGGATGTTAAATTGTAACCACTTACTTTCATCTGTCCTGTCAAAAAGGCTAAATTTGATATTACATACCAGCATGAAATGGTTAAAATGAACTATTTCTTGAAACTCATGAATTGTTTCCATGGCAGCATACCTTGTTAGTTAGTATATGAGTCTCAGATCATGAATAGAGATACTGACTAGCATCTAGCAAGCATCTGCTAGCAGTTTTAGTTTTGACATCCTCCAAATGTTCTCAGAGGAGGAAGGGTTCTTTGGTGTGTGTCATGTGAAGATGATTGTTGAGTGTGTGTCATGTGAAGATGATTGTTGAGTGTGTGTCATGTGAAGATGATTGTTGAGTGTGTGTGTCATGTGAAGATGATTGTTGAGTGTGTGTCATGGGAAGATGATTGTTGAGTGTGTGTCATGTGAAGATGATTGTTGAGTGTGTGTCATGGGAAGATGATTGTTGAGTGTTGATGTGAAGATGATGATTGATGAGTGTTGTTGGGAAGATGATTGTTGAGTGTGTCATGGGAAGATGATTGTTGAGTGTGTGTCATGGGAAGATGATTGTTGAGTGTGTGTCATGTGAAGATGATTGTTGAGTGTGTGTCATGTGAAGATGATTGTTGAGTGTGTGTCATGTGAAGATGATTGTTGAGTGTGTGTCATGGGAAGATGATTGTTGAGTGTGTGTCATGTGAAGATGATTGTTGAGTGTGTGTCATGGGAAGATGATTGTTGAGTGTGTGTCATGTGAAGATGATTGTTGAGTGTGTGTCATGTGAAGATGATTGTTGAGTGTGTCATGGGAAGATGATTGTTGAGTGTCGTGGGAAGGAAGATTGTTGAGTGAGTGTGTGTCATGTGAAGATGATTGTTGAGTGTGTGTCATGTGAAGATGATTGTTGAGTGTGTGTCATGTGAAGATGGTTGTTGAGTGTGTGTCATGTGAAGATGATTGTTGAGTGTGTCATGGGAAGATGATTGTTGAGTGTGTGTCATGGGAAGATGATTGTTGAGTGTGTGTCATGTGAAGATGATTGTTGAGTGTGTGTCATGTGAAGATGATTGTTGAGTGTGTGTCATGTGAAGATGATTGTTGAGTGTGTTTTGATGTCAGTGTTTGACTGATTGAACCATGGGAAACATGTCAGTATCTTTTGTCAGTTGCAGAAATCATCCTTAATACGTAACACATACCTTTAAGTATAAAATTACAAATCATGTGTCATTATGAGAAATTTGTAACAATATTCACTGAACCAAATTAAAAATAATATCAAAAACTTTGGATTATAGGTTTGGTGTGTAGGTATATAACATACACTATAAGTATGAACCATGGGTCATTATGGGAAATTTGTGCCAATATCTACTGAATACTTTTGATTTATAGGTTTGGTGTGTAGGTATGTAACATACACCTATAAGTATAATATTGCACATCATGGGTCATTATGGGAAATTTGTGCCAATATCTACTGAATACTTTGGTTTATAGGTTTGGTGTGTAGGTATGTAACATACACCTATAAGTATAATATTGCACATCATGGGTCATTATGGGAAATTTGTGCCAATATCTACTGAATACTTTGGTTTATAGGTTTGGTGTGTAGGTATGTAACATACACCTATAAGTATAATATTGCACATCATGGGTCATTATGGGAAATTTGTGCCAATATCTACTGAATACTTTGGTTTATAAGAATGTCTAATGGCTCATGACATATGGTGCGCCATCAAAAATTCATGATGACGATGTCTATTGAGACTTCTTGCTTATAAAGACCTAGCTTAAATGTTTAGGCTAGTTACCATAACCCATACTCATATTCTCCCTAAGGTGTATTTTTTTGTATTATCAATTGCTCAGATTTTTCATGAACAGCAAGGGCAGGTAACTCTTTAAACATGTTTGTGTACAAGTTACCTTATTTGTGGATATTCTGTTCACACTATCAAACCATGGTTAGTCTGTACCAAGTCTAATAATGTAAATCCCCTTCCCCTAATTCATTATATCAAATAAAAGGGGTGAGGGGGTAGCCTAGTGGTTAAAGTATTCACTTGTCATGGTGAAGACCCGGGTTCGATTTCCAAAATGGGTACAATGTGTGAAGCCCATTTCGAGTGTCACCTGCCATGATATTGCTGGAATATTGCTAAAAGCGGCGTAAAACTAAACTCACTCACTCATTATATCAAATAAAAACATGTTTTTATAGTTGACTACAATACCATCTCCTCTATATTTCAGACCTCTTCCCAGTTGTGTTTAACCTTGCGTCCCGAGCCCAAATTGACGCCAATGCAACGTGTGGAGAGAAGTCAGAAGTGTTTTGTAAACTTGTGGAACATGTGAGGATATTCCCGGCTTCGAATCGTCATTGTGATATTTGTGATGTGGGGAGTTCGAATCCTGCTCAGCGCCATTCAATCAGAAATGCCATCGATGGGAGCAACCTCTGGTGGCAGAGTCCGACGCTAACCAATGGGTTTAAGTACAACTATGTGACCATCACCTTGGATCTTGGACAGGTCAGTGACTTCTGGTTTTCTCTATAGTCTCCTGGGTCCCTGTTCACGAAACATTCATATTGCTACGACATTCGTAAACATAATAAAACTAAAGAATTACGACAGGTCGTAATGTTACGAACGCTCAGGAAAATACTTACCTTCATCAGCAGTTATGATATTTTGGGATGCCATTCCCCATTTCATCGTAAGGTTTTTATATAACCCTCTCTAAAGAGACAATATTCAAAAGCATTTTATACTTTTGTCCTGCCTTCCCCAAATATTTGTATTATTACCCTCCCCTTGTGACTGAAATAAAAATTTTAGTTACCCTGAAACTCGAGATTCCCTCTAACAGATTCACCCTCATAAAAAATTACTGGTAACCAATATCATCTTAAAATATTGCATAATGTTTATTGGGGTATATAAAAGAAGTTATTATTAGTAAAATAATTCATGATTCTATGTACTGAATATGTTGTTCATCCATATATTGTTATCCTTCCTTAGCGCTGAAGGCCTGGATTCGATTTCCCACATGGGTGCAATGTGTGAAGCCCATTTCTGGTGTCCCCGCCTTGATATTGCTGGAATATTGCTAAAAGCGGCATAAAACTAAACTCACTCACTCACACTATCCTTCCTTAGTTCCCAAACTTCAAAATGCCTCTCTAAGACATTATCATTCCATAGACTCAAGTACCCAGATGTTCCTGAAACACGGCAGATGGCTCAAGCATCAGAATAACATTGCAGCGTGGTGGTGATTTGAATCCAGTGTGTTGTAACAGCCCGTGCACACCTGTAGCTCAGAGATAAATTGTGGCAGAGACAGCCCTCCATACTTTACCAGCAGTGTGTATCTTAAATAGCCATGTCCCTGTAGAGGTGGGTTATTAGGTGTATCAGGTGAACTTTAATTAGCCTTGCAGACTGTGCACATGTAGAGCCAACAGTGCATTGCAGCCATTGTAATTTCCCAGACATTCTACCCAACTAAAAAATTACATTAACAGTTTTTTATTGACTTTTCATGTTCTTTTACGTTTAGTAGTAATGTGATACGCTTATGAATATCAAAGCTTAGTGCTTTTTAATTTTTAGTGACAGAACTGAAATTTGATTTGAATTTTATAATTAGACACCTAGGTGAGTGATAGATACAACTATAGGTTTAGGTACAAGTAGTGGGTGGGTTTCATTGCTCAAGGTTGAGAAGATTTAAATTTGAATTATATAGGGTGTTTGGGAAGTGTTGCTAGCTAGTGTGATCACACATATTTTATTGAAGTAACTCATTGTTGACTTATTTGTTACTTGTGCACTTAGTCATGTACATGTATTTACAAGTCTATCACTTAAACTGACCTGCAAAAGAAAGTATACACTTGAAAATTGGATTTGACCCAAACTTACAAACATCAACTAAATACTACTGGGCTGAAACCTGTTGCTGAACTATTATGTACTTATGGTCAAATACACAACTATGACACATCACTATTGAAGAACTATTTCTTATTTCATTTTTAGCCACCTTCCATTATAGGTGTATAGTTTCTTTTTCCCTGGCAGATTAATTGAGTAAACATGCATATAGTTAACCTTGCATCCAGAGCACTTATAACAAACTCCAAGACTTCTATAACCATATAGGTCACTGTAACCATAGTTCATTATAGGGGGGAGGTGGTGTAGCCTAGTGGTTAAAGCATTGGCCCGGAAGGCAACACAACACCATTTCTGGTGTCCCCCATGTGATATTGCTGGAATATTGTTAAAAGTGGCATAAAACCCAACTCACTCACTCTCTTGTTCATTGTACACATTTTGACTAAAATCCAGCAAGTGAATGGGCACAAAAAACAATGAGCTGTATACATCAGTTCGTTATGAGCTGTATACATCAGTTTATGAGCTGTATACATCAGTTTGTTATGAGCTGTATACATCAGTTCGTTATGAGCTGTATACATCAGTTCGTTATGAGCTGTATACATCAGTTCGTTATGAGCTGTATACATCAGTTCGTATACATCAGTTTTATGAGCTGTATACATCAGTTCGTTATGAGCTGTATACATCAGTTCGTTATGAGTTATGAGCTGTATACATCAGTTCGTTATGAGCTGTATACATCAGTTCGTTATGAGCTGTATACATCAGTTCGTTATGAGCTGTATACATCAGTTTGTTATGAGCTGTATACATCAGTTCGTTATGAGCTGTATACATCAGTTCATTATGAGCTGTATACATCAGTTCGTTATGAGCTGTATACATCAGTTACATCAGTTTTGTTATGAGCTGTATACATCAGTTATACATGTTATGAGCTGTATACATCAGTTGAGCTGTATTATGAGTGTTCGTTATAGACTCTTGCTTGACAATGGTATAAGAAGAATGTATACCAAAATGTTGCATCATATGTAATAAACAAGCCGTGCTCCTTTAAGTTTCTTGCATCTGTAAACATAGTTGACTGTATATATGTTTTTCTTATTTAATTTTTTTTTAACATGCTGTTAAATAGCAACAGTTTGGGTGTTTCTAAAATGTCATACACTATACCTGGCTGTATCAGCAATCTGGGATCATCTGATAGGATACTGGTGTTTATCTGTTTACTGATAACCCTGAGTAGCACCTAGTGCAGGTAATACTGGCGTTAACATGGTGATTGACAGCAACTTACACACCTATGGACAACTGACATGGGCAGCCATCTACCAGGGATAGTGCTATTGACAACATGGCCAGTTTCACTGCTACAGGTTGTCAGTTACTTTACTGTTGATAATATTGTGATTTCCATGCAAGGGATCAACTTGTCAGTTTGTAGAGATACCGAGGGACAAAGTTATCAGTTCTGTAATCAGTTCTTGGTCTGATATAGACGCCAGCTTTGAGCAATTAGTGGAGGTACTTCACAGGAACCATAGAACTAGTGTTTATAATGAAATAAGATGGCATCTAAATTGGCTCGAGAAACAATACTGCTGGGTTACTTTAGAGAGCAGTGGTTAATAACAACAGATGATATACATTGCATATTGCCTGTCTGTCAAGTATTGAGTGGATGGACTTATTAACCTGGTTAATAACAACAGATGAGACATTGCATATTGCCTGTCAATGTGTCTGTCAAGTATTGAGTGGATGGACTTATTAACCATACTGTTCAACCAACTTTTTGTTGGCAAGAATTTTATTACTTTTGTTGGATAAACTCAAATTTATGAAGGTGTTGATTGTAATTATTCCATAGTCAGTAACAGAGTGGTTGGTAAGCTGGAGAAGGGATAAACTAAATATTTTTACCGCCTAGCTAAGGCATTTGTTGGCATGATATTAATTACTTCTACTGGGTTAATGCTAATATATGTAGAAGTTAATCGCAGTTACCACTGATTAATGGTGTGGTCGTGGGTCAGAGAACAGGTCAAGGCAGCTTGGGGTCAGGGAAAGGTGGGCTTGTACAACTAAGACATTTCATACAAATGGAAACAGAAAGTCCACAAGATGTCAGGTGTATACAGAGAGCATGTAGAAGAATCTTATATCTTCAGACACTGCTTGACTAGTGAAGATCCGGGTTAGAATTGATCTTCAGTAACCCATGCTTGTCGTAAGAGGCGTCTAATGGGATCGGGTGGTCAGGCTCCCTGACTTGGTTGACACATGTCATCGTATCCCAATTGCGTAGATCGATGCTCATGCTGTTGATCACTGGATTGTCTGGTCCAGACTCGATTATTTACAGACCACCGCCATATATCTGGAATATTGCTGAGTGTGGCATAAACTCACTCACTCACTCACTCACTCAGACAGCTCATCTGATCTTACATCCAATCAGAAATATGGAAGTTCTGAGCTGCATAAACTACGTTCCATTTCGAGAAACATATGCAAATAGCTGGGATTCCCATCAATAGTATCTCCAGGGATTCCACACACTAAAGCATAGTCTCTGAAAGTAAAGACTTTTATAATAAAAACAGATAATTCCATTTGAAATTGGAAAGGAGACCCAGTGAGATGGGCGATTTTGAACCTGAGGAAAGTGTAGACTTCATTAGGGATTTTGCATTACAGAAAGGGCTGGTCGGAAGGGAAAACTGATATGGTTCAGAGACTGTGAAAAAGTCCTAGGAGTTCCCAGCACCATCCTTTTAGGGTCATATAGCTCAGGGCTCTCAGGTACAATTTGCTGTGCAGAGTTCCTTCCCTTGGGCAGACACAAAAGCTAGGTTCATGGGTTCGAATCCCACTTCATCCTTCATGTTTCTAGGTTTGCCAGAACCATGTCCATACTAGCTTCACCGAAATCGTATACGTCTAAGACCTGAGTCATTTTGGGCTTTTTTCCCACACCAAGCAGACCCGCCATGATATAACAGAAGTACTGTACAGGGGCATTAAGCCCATCTCACTCACTCAAACCATACTCAGAACCCACTGATGAGGATCAGATGGTTATAGTGTCTGACCTGTCATGTTGCTCATGTTTTCAACCACCGGTTTGCCATCTCTCAGCCTACTTATTTATCCACCATTGTGATATCATCATCACCATCATAGGATATTTGTATAGCGCATATATCCATGCAACTAGTACATGCTCAAGGCACTCGTTTTTTCCCCCTCGATCACTGGATGTCAATCTCAATGGCACATAGTATTATCAATCTCGACTCCTTGGGGAGTATACAACTCTTGCAGCCACTAGGCGCACCAAGTTATTGCGGCTTTCCCATCCTTACGAGGTACCCATTCACAGCTGGATGGACAGGGACACATAGTGTCAGTACTTTGTCCAAGTTGCTGTACCCACAACTAGGTGTTTGCACGTATTGATATGACCACCATCTGGTCATTTACCAACGGATTTGTGGATTCTTTTAAGTGCACAGGGTTGTGTACTGTACACAAGAGATTGTGACAACACTGAAAGAGTGCACACAAAGTTGACTCCAAGCTTTTTACACCCGGTCACAGGTGGGCTCGAT